CATTGTGCAAATGAAATAAACAACTGAAACTGTTCCATCGAAAACCTCTAAACTGGCAGGTATAAATAGTTTCACTTCTAAATGCTGTCTGCAGGTAGAGTCTCTAAAAGGAGGCGGGAATTGAGGAGAGGAAATGAAAAACATTAAAATAAAATGGAAATGGCTAATTCCACACTCCCCACAGCATCAACCTGAAGGTCAAAGGGAATGCATATATATTCATATATATATATATATATTTCTAAAGGCTTAAATATCATACATAACTTAAAAGCATAATAAAATTATTAGCACATTAATAAACTGTATATTCAGCGTCTGAAAAGCTCCCGTCGTCAGAGAGAGACACAAAATGCCGTGAATTTGAACGTGAGAAAAAGAGAACAGCACGCAGAGAGAAGTGAAGTTTAGATCGGAGAAATGCAAATCTGACATCTGGAAACGGGGTATAGCTAAAAGAGAGCAAACCACATGGCAACAGGCATATGAATGAGCTCGTGTTTGTGTGAGAACACAAAAAAATTAAACCCGACTCAGTCCTCCACTTACAAACAACGACTGAAGCAGCTCTCTAGACTGAAATTGTCCCGATTTAACATACAAAAGTAAAAGAGGAAAATAGATTCTGTTCTCTGTACACGGTGCCGCTCCTTTGTTTTTATTTTTAAAAAAAAAAAGAAAGAGAAAAGAGCTCCCCCCCCCCCTCTCCTTTGTGTTTTTGCTCAGGTAGCATCTTTGCTCGTTGTGCCGGGTTGGTACCAGTATAGCAGTAACGTGGGTTCACATGCTGGACAGGTTTCTGATCTAAAGTCAGCACACCAACACAATGTCCACACCTTTAAGTGATGACTCGGGACTGAACTCGGGTCAGTTGTCCGCTCATATTATTAGTGCTCTTCTTGAGACAGACTCGTCGTCACGGCTCCTCGAATGTTCAGGGTTTGATGACTCGCGGGGGGTGGGGTGGGGGTGGGGGGGCAGTCTAGTTTCTTAAAAGTCACCCCTCGCGGTTGAGTTTGTGATCGTTTGTTTGTTACTGGATTCCAGCTGTGCCCGCGCCGTCATCTCCACTCATCCAGGGTCAGTCCAACGATATAACATCGGGTATCCCGCCGTAAATAGCCGCCACCGCAGCTTCAGTGCTGCTCCGGCTGGCCACCACCCCGGGATGCGTGTGTGAGGAGTGTGAGCTCGAATGTGAGGACGAGTGTGTCGAATGAGTGTCACGGAGGCTGCTGGACGAGACCAGGCTGCTGGTGCTGCCCGAATTGCTCACCCCGTTGGTCGGCGCTGTCAGCGAAGGCGCAGAGGAGACTGCCGATTGGTCGAGGAACAGGTGGGAGGCGGAGGAGGAGGTGGTGTAGGGCATGAAGCGGTTGAGAAGCAGCTCGTGGTCTTCTGAGGCCGAGGCAGCCGCCGCTGCTGCCATAACCATGTTGTAATGCTGAAAGGAGGCAGAAACAGAAGCAGGGAGGGGGTGTTAGTGAGGCACAAAGTCCTGAAAGACCCAGATGTGGGTCAGTTTAAGTCTGAGAGTAGTTCAAATATCATTCACCCATCTGCATATCCTGCTTTTATGTTTCTCATTTACTAACAACACATTCAAACAGCGAGAACATAAGAGAAGAATAAGAGAAACATAAGAGATTACTAAACTATCCCAGACAACCAGACAGAACTCTAACAGGCAATCTTTGTGCATTTCACGCAGGTGAGCTGTTCTGCATAAGATACAGTTTAATAACAGACAATGTAGTGCTCTGTCATGGTGAAGAGAGAGGTGAGTGTAAAAGCAAAGATGTGCCTACGCTCAAATATGGTCACAAGCTCTGGGTAGCGACCGAAAGAATGAGATCATGGATACACGTGGTGGAAAAGAGATTTCTCAGAAGACCTCCCTTAGAGATAGGGTGAGGAGTTTAGCCATTTGGGCAGGGCTCACAGTAGAGCCACTGTTCATCCACATCAAAAGCAGCCAGCTGAGGTGGCTTAGGTGTCTGACAAGGATGCATCCTTGGCATGGTGTTCCAGGCATGTCCCATTGGGAGGAGGCCTCAGGGTTGCCCCAAGACACGTCAGAGAGATTCCATCTCTTGGCAGGCCTCCGCTGGCCTTGCTGTTTCCTCAGATAAGCTGGAGGAGGTTTAGAGGGAGGCTGCTGGCTCCGTGACCCAGCCCCGGATCAGCAGAAGACAATAGATGGATGGCGTTCCATTTTACTAAAGTGTGTATAGTGTGATCTTGTTAGTTTCACTTCACAACAACAGGTAATACCTAGGTATGGTAAGATAAGACTTAGGTATACCTAAGTCTTTGTTTATATGGGACAGAGATATCCCATATAAACGATGGTTTAGCGAGAGTGGGGAAATAGAACTCCCATTAAACAGGAAGTGACTTTTACCTGAACCACAGAGAGTGTGAAAGGTGGAAATAGTCATCTGCTGTTTCTGAAGTCATGACTTGCTCCATTATAGAACACATTATGACCAGGAATCAAAAAACAGCCAAGCCAACTTTATTTATAAAGCACTTTAAAAACAGCAACCACTGACCAAAGTGCTGATAGGCAGATAAATAGACTGAATATGACCCAAAATGAGTGACTTAGCCCATAAACTCAGCAAGAGAGAGTCAAGAAGACAGAAAGAAGTTTCCCTTCAGACTTCTACATGACCCAAAGTCTGGAAAAACAGATATCGCCTTCTGGTGGTCTTCGAAGAGAATGCAGGGTTAAGGAACTCATTCTTCATACCCATAAGCTGCAGTCATGACCCAGAACGGGGGGGGCACATACGGCGAGCTCTCCAAAAACTCTTTAATTCAAATCTCACGTATTATACTGCATGTACAGTCGCTGTCATGCAGTTGTGAAGAATGTGTAAAACTGACCTATGCCTGTAAGTCATTACAGGTGACCACTGGAGCACAGGTGTATTTAAAACTTTCAGGAAGCAACGAAACCGCTCTCCAACAAAAACTCCTCACTGTGAAGTCTGTGGATTCATGCAAAGCAATACTGACTCTTGATGTGCAGTTGCTGTTGAATTTTAATACTATTTTAGACACATATGGCATCCCATTCATCCTCACTGGCAGAAGAAATCCCAGATGCAGATAACAGCTGGATATTGCACTACTGAAGCTATGCAAGACACTCTTATTTGGCAAACCTTCATCTCTCCTTAAATAACCAGTACAGACTACAGCCCAGAGGCAGAAGAAATAAGAACGCTCGGTAACAGACACATTTTATGAGAAATAACACAAAGAGGGCAGCTTGTTTCTGAGGAGGGCTAAAAACAAAGCTTGTGCTTTCTTTTTTTCCATAAGCACGTTTTGAACATTTTGTTCTCACAGGCTTCCAGGATTTTACTGAAAACAACAAAGTGTTTCAGCTGCTAAATTCAGCCACGTTTACACAATATCAAACACTGCTGTACGTACCGGATGATTGTCCCCTTGAAGAAAAGAGAAAAAATTCAACTCTGGAAATAAAGTAGAGAAAAGGTCAGTGATGAATATCACAAATGCAAATACATATTGTATGGGGTTTGTTTTTTTTTAAAAGTTAAGAGAAGTCAGAAGCACAGAGAGGCACAAATCTGTGAAATAGGCAAGGTCGATTCATTAAAAGTTAAAGAGTTAAGTTCAGTTGCAATTTTAAGCTTTTTGCCTTTTCCATTGTGTTTTCTTTCAGAATTTACTGTGCAAAAGTCTTGAGCCACCTCCTTGTCAGAAAAATGGGAAATAGGCACAACAATATATTGAAACACCTGCAATCATACATGGAAATGCAGTGCTGTTATTGTTAGAGTTTATGACCATAGCACCCTGAGCATGCCCAGTCTCGGCTGAAGTCAGAAGCTAAGCAGGGTAGGGGATGGTTAGCACTTGGATGGAAGACCGTCTGGGAATACCAGCTGCTGTAAGCTTTGGGGTGGCTGTAGCTCAGGAAGTAGAGCAGGTTATCTACTATTCTGTTGGTGGTTTGATCCCTGGCTGCTCCAGTCTGCATGCCAAATATCACTGGGCAAGACAGGTTGACCCAAGACAGGTTGATCCTTTTAATGCATTTGTAATGTTTGGGATCATTTTCAGCATGAAGTTGTTGTAAATGAGACGCTTTCCACATGTTATTGCATAATGAATCAATGTCTTTTCTGCATTAATCCAAGTGAGGCTACAGTTTGTTTGTTTTTTTTAAGCCTGACATTTTTTGGTCTTATCACTTCTTTTGTCCTCCACTTATGCAGTTTCTTCAGTGTTTTTAAGGACACATTGCACACTACACTGAGATCAGTTAACTAATAGCTCTTTAGGAATCACTGTGTTAGAGCAAAAATACTATTTTATATCTGTCAAACTGTGTTAGCTCTGGCATTTTTCATCTGATTCAACTAAAGAAAGTATGAAAATGGCAAACTTTTGTGTCAGGCTGCTACTAACAAAGTGCTAAAGATAGAATTTAAAATGCGTTGCTAAATTGTCTGTTATGTGTAAACACAACACTGCTTCTTATCTTGAGTTAGGAGCATTTATTATTAATTATTACTTCTACTGAATGAGCCACGATGAGCCAAAGACCTTCAGAAAGCCTGGAGAACTGCTGCACTTTGAAAAATGACAACAAAGCGTGGCTCACTGGAAGATAAACAGGAAGAAATGAGAGGTGACTCAAGACTTTTGCACAATACTTTTGTTATGTTAGAACAGTGTGGCTCTTTGGCAGAATTTTAAATAAAGTTAGCACAATTTTAATCAAATTTGGCTACACACTGTGAATGATATAGGTTATAGTTAGGTTTACATAAATGCACTGTACACAACAGTATCTTTACTAATGCACATGTATTCATGAATACTTGCAAAGCATCCTGTATGTGTGTCATTACCTGAAAGGTCATTGGGGGTGTGGTAGTAGGGCCTGTAGTCCTGGATGAGAGGGGGGACAGGAGGGATGTAGCTGGTGTCTATCCCGGGCATGCTGGGGGTACGGCTCACAGGAGAGGCCTGATGGTGCAGGTTCAACACGCTAAAGGCAAACACAGAGGAAGAAGACGAAGAGATAAAGAACTAAAGAAGCCACGTAACTTCTAATAAGGCTTTTATGATGTGTCATGTGTACTGGGATAAACCACAGGGCCGTCCTGTCACCTTCAATTAGAAAAGTAACACTCACAGGATTCATTAAAGAGAAATGGGAGCAGCAGATGCACCTAATGAATTTTGGATTGGTAGAAAAGGCAGCTGTTTAAATTTCATAGCCATACTAAAGCTGGATTCAAGACTTCAGTCGGGTCTGTTTGTCGGCAGTTTTGAAATTTTGCGACAAACTGTGATTGGCTGAACTTTGATTCCTGTTTGCAAAAAAGGCAAGCGAGGCGAGTTATGGAAAGTCAATCGGGTCATCAGACGCAAATGTTTCGTCGACACGCTCGGGCACCGACTGCGAGCGCCGATGTGAAATGTCAAGAAGATGCTGTGCTCATGAATCATTTAAGCAGAGAGACAAAACTGCCCACGCGAGCGGCTAAAACGAGCATCAATTTCACATTTAATCAAATTCAACCTGCCTGCGGAGATTAAATCAGCATCTAGGGTGTGTGCTCGCCTCACCCTTTGTTGATGACGGGTGGCGAGGTCGGGGACATCGAAGGGCACGCTCTTTTGATAGGAGGAGGCAGCGTTGGGGGCGGCGGCGGCGGCGAATCCGGTCCTTCATCGTCTGAGGAGCTGTCCAGTGTCAAGTCGATCACTTCCACTTTCTTGCCGTTGCTGCTGTCGCTGCCTCCGTGGCTGGATGCCGAGGAGCTCCGCTGATCTGAGCCTGCGGCGGTCCGGCATGAGCCTGTAGAGCGGCGGTGATGTATCAGTTTGTGTTTGTGCAAATGTTTTTGCTTTTCAGAGACTGAACAGTTAAAAAAAAACAAAAACACAACTTCTCCCAACAGATGCCTCGCCTAATTAAAGCTGGGATCACTAAAGGCAGGCTTTCAGGCTAGCATTCCCCTTCCCTCCCTCCTTGTTTATCCCTCATCTCACCATCCAGCCCATTGTTATAGGAAGCAGAGGACACCTCCTGCACTTCCTTCTTAGACCTCATGGGGGCCCAGCTGCCATCCTCCTTAAACTGGATCTCATCACAGTCCGTGCAGCTATTGAGGATCTCTACAAAAAGCCTGAGAACAAACATACATGTCATACAGCAACCAAGAGAAAAAGACTTCACATCCACTTTACAGTTTCTCTCTAAAAATCATTCCACACACGGTTCTTTTATATTGAGCAAGTGTTTGGAAGATAAACCCCCCCACTACATTTATTAGAGTAAATCCCTTATGCTGTATCATTTTATTTGTATCCCATCATATATATATATATATATATATATATATATATGTGAAGAAGAACCACATAGCAAGCATTGAGTAACAGAGTAAATAAAGAAAACAATACAACGCTCCACAGAGCAACAACAAACAAACAACAACAAGAAAAGGAGAGACGAGGTAAATTGTTACAGTGTTCTGGGACTTTAAACATAAAGGCTGTTTTTTGCTGCAAAAAATATAGTGTGGCACGTACACTGACCAGCCACTTTATTAGGTACACCTGTTCAACTGATTGTTAACACACATTTCTAATTGGCCAATCACATGGGACCAACTCAGTGGATTTTTGGAATGTAGACAGGGACAAGACGACCTGCTGAATTTCAAAACGACGCATCAGAATGAGGAAGAAAAGTGATTTAAGTGACTTTGAACGTGGCATTGCTGTTAGTGTCAGACGGGCTGGTCTGAGCGTTTCACAAACTGCTGGTCTGCTGGGATTTTCCTCTATAATCATCTCTAAAGTTTACAGAAAATTGCCTGAAAAAAACCAAAGAGAGAAAAATCCAATATCCAGTTCTCTCTGCAAAAACAACCCATTGATGTCAGCGGTCAGAGGAGAACGGCCGGGCTGCTTTGAGCTGATAGAAAGGCAACAATAACTGAAATAAGCATTTGTTACAACCACGGTATTTAGAAGAGGACCACTCTTGCCACTATTTGATCAAAGGTCACCGGCAGGCCACAGCGACCTACCCATCAATGATGAGATGCTCGTACGGCGCCTTCTTGTCGCAGACGGGACACACCCAGGTGGGCTTCTTCTCATTCATTTGGATGTAAAGTGTGGCGTCGAAGCACTGCAGGTGGGAACATGTCAGCGCCCGGCACGGGATCATCAGCCGCATCTTCCCCAGCTGCGCAGTGAGCACATACGTAGTCAGGCCACGAAGGAAGTATAAGTGACACACAAATGTCACAAACACAACAAACCCATATAGCAAAACAGGATAGGGGCCAGAAGACAATAAGACAGGTGGTTCATGTTCACATACATAAGTTATGTGCGAGGGCATGTCGAGTCACATACAAAGTAAAATGAGAGGAAAAAGAAAAGTAAAGAATGGAGCAACGTGTTTGGGCATGACTGAACCTCGAAAAAGGGCCTTAAATTCATGAGGAGCAGGGAGCATGTTTACCGGGCAGAGGAGCGACACTCGAAGGCTGGTTGTGGCTATTTCGCTGTCTGGGTCGGCTGTTAGCTTCTCTTTTACTGCAGGGTAGAGGAGAAGGACAAACACGTGTCAGTGTCAGAACCAAAGTCCTGACTTCTCCTACCAGATGAGCCTCCTGAATCACTGCCTGACTGCACCTAAATCTTTTTATGCAACTTGCAAAACAGCATGCAAGAAATATACAGACAGCTCCCATCTGACTGGATGAAAACATTTCAAAACAAGAGTTCAGTCTTAAGCCTTTTGCCCTGTCCCACACCACAAATTCAGCCTTTGATACATTAAATTACAGTGGAAACAGAAGAACAGCATTAGCTGATACACTGGATAGGTGCTTCTTTTAAAAAGAGGTGCTTACTGAGTGCTCTGGAGTGGTCTGGGTTTCTGATGCCTTTAGCTCGCAGTCTCTGTAACAGCACTGTGGACGACTGCTGCTTCACCAAGTACACCGCCATCGAGTAACTCTGAACACACGGGAAGACACGACAGAGAGTGACAGCACGTCCTTGAACATGTTACTCAGTATAACTTTCAATGTTTGCCTCCACAGTCTCAGTGAAATCGATCCATCTGCTGTGACACTAATGTAAGTTGTGCAACAGTCAGCAAGCTCTTCTGTTCTCAGACCTTTCCTTTACCGCCCTCTACTGTCCGTCTCCACCCACCTCGATAAAAGCCAGCAAATATAAAGACAGAATTTTCTTAATCACATTTATGACGCGTTTATCCTGAAATCCTTCATCAAACGCCTCTGAATCCATGTATTTTAAAGGGAAATCTTCCCCTGAAGTTGTAGTTTTTATCCAATTTTGGTTTTCTTTTACAACGTTTGGCTGTAAAAAGGGAACACTGTGCCCCTTCCTGGGCTTCGCACCAATTTGAAAGCCTCTTTATATAATCAAAGTATTCTTTAAGTCTTTTTTTAAATAGGCTCTTCTCTGCTTCTTCTTCTTTTTTTGTCTGTCATCTATGTGAACACAGTAAGTTAAGAACACCGTGTGATGTGATCATACACTGAGGCATGCGGCAGCACCCCGTTGCATAAATGGGGACATACATTAATCAAGATTAATGCAGATTTTCAGGACCTCTATTTAAGACAGAACATTCACATTAATAACACCTGCAGATCAGCTCCAACACCAGATTAATTAACCGTGTTGTATCTGGATAGAGCACACAATAGAATTTATTTAATTTTTTTAATGATCATGATGCCATTAAAAAAAAAAAAAAAGTCAAACCGTAACTTGTCTCTAGTCCCTTATGTTGTGTTACTAAAAATAAAAAAAGACTATATTGTGATTCAAGTGCTTGGAAGTATAAAGAGTGAAAAAGTCTGCAGAGGAAGTAAAGGAGCAAGAGTGCAATGAGTTGAGCACAAGACATTCACACATAATATTTCTATGTCATTTCTTTGTAAAGCCAGAATTAGCTTCGTCTTATTTGTATTAAGCTTGTTTACGTGTTTGTCTGATGGAAGAGGCTTAGACGAGGTTGGGGGAGCTGCAGGAAGTCAGATATCTGCTTTCAACTTCAGAACGACACCAAAGCTGAGAAAAGCAAAAAGTAAGCCTTCGTATTTGAGCAGCTGCAACCAGCAAATGTTTAAATTCAGTCATTACGCATCTAAAGTGTCAGTTATTCACACACACTGCAAAAAGCTTTGGCTCCTACCCTTCCGATCTCAGCGGTCCACGACACCACGATGGTATTGGGGACTGTGGTGGACAATCTGACTAGTGAGGTAATGTTGATTGGGCGGCTGGGCCGCTTGGGCTCGACACCGTTTTTGGTTGGAGGAAGATAACCCTAGAAATGAGAAGCGAATATCATTAATGTCGTTTTCCAGGTGGCATTCTAACATTCTTTATTAAACGGCTGAGCGCTTCTCACCGGCAGGTTGCACGGCTTCCCGTTTACTTTCACACACAGATTGGGGGGGAAATGGTCTTCCTGAGGACAGCTGGTCTCCGACAGGCAAAACCGCAACTGAACCTGAACTGAGAAGTCACACTTGGTCCCCGAGATGTCCCTTTGAGAGCAGAAACACATTTATCAATGCGCAGCCGCGCAAACCCTGTACATTTCTGAATTATTCATGAACAATTCAGCATCCTGCGTTGCCGGAGCGGCGTTAAATTTTACATTGAGCTGCTGATCTGCTGAACTTGCTGCGGCGTTAAAGCGAAGGCGAAACATGTCTCCTGAAACCGCTGGCTGTTGTCTGACGCTGCAGAGAGACAGAGAGAAAGCGGGAAAGGACATGTTTTAATAGTTGAGGACATTACATATAAACCTGAATTAATCGTGCCTGCTTTCTCACATTACATGCATCTACTTTTTAACCCTCAGACATAAATATAATAAAAAACAACGTCTGAACAAATAACACGCCCCATACATGAAGCAGGTGAGGAAATATGTGCACAGCTGTGTAGCAGAGGGGCTCTCCTTCATAAACATCTGCATTATCAGGCAGGGCTCGCACGCATGAAATGACTAACTGAGAAACACTTGGACGCCAAAACCAAACCTCACACTAAGGTGAAAACGAAGGAGAAAATGTGTGCGTGCTATTTATAGGCCCACCCACAGGTGCGAGCTCGAGGAAAGTTTGAGCTGGATTTGTGTAGGAGGTCAACATGAAACTACGAGTCATGAGGGTTCAAACCGAGCCCTGTTTTGCATTTGGACTTTAACGATGTTTCAGCTTCTTAAGAAACTTGCTTAAATATCTTCTGTCATAAAGTGAAAGACAGACACCGACAGTTAGTTTCTCTTGGCACAGATGGGTATCCCATCGAACCAGAGGCAGTTCAGGGGTTTTAAAAAAGAGTTTATATATTCTATCATCCCTGTGAAAAATTCATTAACATGTTTGAACATGTTCGTTTGATGATTTCAGATGGAAATGTAAAAATGGCAAATTATCATTTTAGGGTTATTACATTTTAAACTGCAACTACACAAAAAATAGCAGCCACAGAGGTCGTAGTGAAACTCCAAACGTGACAGTTTCTCAGGTCCTTCCGTTTGCACTAATATTTATACTCTCACATCTTTGGGAGCTCACCTTTGACACTACCTTCAAGTCTTTCGTTTGGCAAGATAAAAGCCCCGTGGGTCATAAAAAATGTGGTATGGGAGTTACAGACATTTAAGTATTATATTCAGTACTGTGCAAAAGTCTCGTTTCTTTATGTTGTGCTTCTGAGGATGGCATCTCTCAGTGCAGTACGTTCTATATATTTGAGAAAACTGATCTGAATGTTGTTGTTAAGAAATACAAACATTCAGCAACGACCTGACAAGGGACATGTGGGATACATCTGCACTTGGTTTAAAGAATGATCATGGATTGGCTTCCCCAGAGTCCGGACTTCGACTTTATTGAAGATCATCTGAACTGAGAACAGGAAAAAAAAGGCAGCCAACATCCAAAGAAGAGCTTTGAATGTCCTTCAAGAAGCCTAGAGAACTATTCCTGAAGACTACAAGACAGCTTCCTAAGGCTGTGTTGAACCATAAAGTTAGAATAATAATGGATTGCATTTTACATAGCGCTTTTTGAGACCCTCAAAACACTTTACAATTAAACTATTCATTCACTCTCACATTCACACACTGGCAAGCTACAGTTGTAGCCACAGCTGGGGCAGACTGACAGAAGTCCCTCTGGCCATCACCAGTAGGTGAAGTGTCTTGTCCAAGGACACAACGACCAAGACAGAGAGAGCAGGGGATCGAACCGGCAACCTTCCGGTTACAAGATGAGCTTCCCAACCCCCTGAACCATGGTCGTCCCCTGACTGACTGTGCAAAGTCAGTTTTTATCTATATGTTGCATTCCCGTGGCACGGTGGTTAGCACTGTTGCCACACAGCAAGAAGGTCCTGAGTTTGCATTTTGTGCAGAGTCTGCTGTGTTTCTGTGGGTTATGGCTTTCTCCCACAGTCCAAAGAGAACCAATGGGCAATGTTAACTGGTGATTCTAAATGGGCCGTAGGTGTGAATGCAAGTGTGAATGGTTGTCTTAATGTGTTAGCCCTGCGACGGATTCCCCTATGACAGCTGGGACAGTGGACAAACAGTTTGGCATACAGAGGACTTGACTCAATGACTGTAAGGTGCTCAGGTGGTCCTGTAGCTTTAAAATGAACCCAAACCATCACCCCTCCACTACCATGCTTTGAAATTGCTTTTGACGTACTGTACTGCTCAGTGTCTGACCTTGAGATGAAGTTCCTGGGATGTACACTCGTAATAAACTGTAAAATGCCAATATATTCATGTGTTCTGTACACACATGAAATCAAACTACACTTTAAATTGGGTTGAGATGAACAAACAGGTAAAAAAAACAAAAAACAACAACAACCAAAAAAACAAGAAAAAAAAGCAGATTTAAAAAAAAATTCCAGCTGAGATGTAGAACAGGTGATGAACTTCTTAGTTGGAATGAAACTGAAAAATGAAAGCAACTAAAGTCTCCACTGAAAAAGATTTTCTTAAAAAAAAACTTCATTACAAGTTTTCCTTACGCAGACCACTATAATCAGTGTTAAAACACTGTTGATGTTTTACTCCCTCTGCGTGGATGTTGTGAAACAGATAAATCTCAGTGGGAATGTTTTGGTCTGCAGGTTGTGTAAGTGAGGAGCGAGGAGGAGTTGTTGCTTTAGCTACATAAAATAATGCTGAACTGTGAGTTAAAATGTGTCTCTGTACACACACACACACACACACACCAGTTTTAAGAACACAAAAATGCTTTCCATCTATGGCGTGTGCGTGTGTGATAGGGGGGTGGGGGGCAGTACAGTTCCTATGGATGATTACTGGACCAATCATGTACCTCCTCTCGGCATACCAAACAGCCATTAAATTTCCCAGTGATGACCCGTCTCATCACCAGCGTGGTATATAATTTGTTTGACATGTGCAGTGTTTGCTGTATGTTCCTGTGTGTTTTAAGCAGCAGCCTGTGCACTGCGGAACAAAATCATGCGCGAGTGTGCTTTCGAACAACCATCTCCCTCCTCTCCGGGCACACAGGTTATAAATAGAAAAAGCTCTCTCACTCCCTCACTCTTGCTCTGCCTATCTCCTATCACTCTATAACTCCCTCTCTCTCTCTCTCTCTGGTGCTGGATTTGTTTCTGGTGTTTCAAAGTGAGTGGTTGGGAGAGATATGAAAGAGGTTGAAATGGCCTTTGATTGATGTCTTCCTCACTCTCACTAACACAAGGCTGTATTTTTACCCAAGCACAGTGTTGGACATCAACTTTAACATATTTGCTTTGTTTTTCTCACTAACTGGTCTAAAGTAGCAAAATATATATATATATATATATATGCTTATATCTGAAAGCAGATGCAAGCTCCTCATTAGCCCTTTACCATTAATCTTCCTTGGGATTTCTGTCCTGCTTATACACAAAATTAAAAGTAGCAGTTTGAAACTAAACTTAGTCTTCTCGCCACAGATCATATTTCTCATTCAAATCTACAACGGTCAACTTTTGGTATTATAGCGGGCACTGCTGCCAAGACACGTGTTGTGCCATATCTCATCACTCTCCTGTTTCCTTGGTAACCTAGCAACTACCATTAACACAGCACATGGAGCCCAGAGCCGATGAATGGAAGAGTCGCGTCATCTCCGTTCACTCCAATGATCCTGATAATGCAGATCTTTAGCAACATATGCTAGCTGCACCATAGAGATATAGCACAGCGTGGAAGTTTGAGATGCATTTTTACAAGGTAATAAGTTAAAAAAAAAAAAACCCAAGTCTGTAATGTTATCAGCACACAATCCAACTGTCCACTAAGCACTTGTCAGGACTCTGATTTAGTCAAGGGCTCTGATGAGCCTAGCCTAGCGCTAGCCACAACCGGGTTTCTTTACTTTGTTTTTACTGAAAATCAAAAGCAACACATCTATGGATGTTACACAGAACAAATACAGTTGATTTATTAACAAAAAATAAAGGAAAATCTAAAATCTCACTGGAAATGGGGGAAACTGTTAGCCTGAGTTTCACCAAAAGTACAAAATGCTACCTCAGGAGGCGCTAAATCCCACGAAACTATGCAGACTTCCATTGTTTACAGAAGAACAAGAATAAGAAGCATAACAGCTGCTTAAAACAAACTCAGAGATTTGTTACTGTGGTGATGCAACAGTTTGGTCCACTGATATCTGCTGTTGCGATCACTCATGTAAGGAAGGCAAAGGATATAAATAAATCAATCTTTTTTTAAATCATATTTTTACTTCTGATTGCAGCCCAGTTATTGGCAGATATTCTAATAATATACATGTAAGTGGGAAAAATCTTTTCACAGAAGTCTGTTTAGTACTTGGGACAAACTAAATATAACCAATGATTCAATAGCTTGCAAAACCAGCTTCAGCAGCAATATTTCAATGAAATTATTTTCAGTGTGACTTTATCAGTCTCTAACATCACTGGGGAGGGATTTTGGCTTACTATTCAGTTCAGTGAGGTATGTAAACATTTGTTTATGCACAGCTTTCGGTTCCACCTCGACGTTTCAGCACTAGGTTGAGGATCTGGACTTGGACACCTTGATTCTTTTCTTTTTCAGCCATTCTGTTCTCTGCTGTACTTGAGATCACTGGCCTGTTACATGACCCAATTTCAGCCAAGCTTTAGCTGTCAAACAGATGGCTTCAGATTTGACTAGAATACTAGAGTGGCACAGTCTTCTGTGGTTAGCGCTTTTGCAAGCAAGAAGGTCCTGAGTTTGCATTTTGTGCAGAGTCTGCTGTGTTTCTGTGGGTTATGGCTTCCTCCCACAGTCCAAAGAGAACCAATGGGCAATGTTAACTGGTGATTCTAAATGGGCCGTAGGTGTGAATGCAAGTGTGAATGGTTGTCTTAATGTGTTAGCCCTGCGACGGATTCCCCTATGACAGCTGGGACAGTGGACAAACAGTTTGGCATACAGAGGACTTGACTCAATGACTGTAAGGTGCTCAGGTGGTCCTGTAGCTTTAAAATGAACCCAAACCATCACCCCTCCACTACCATGCTTTGAAATTGCTTTTGACGTACTGTACTGCTCAGTGTCTGACCTTGAGATGAAGTTCCTGGGATGTACACTCGTAATAAACTGTAAAATGCCAAAATAGCTGCTTTCATAGAGGTGCTCACACTTGCTGATGATCAGTTACTGACCCTCTTAATTCCGATGGAGTGA